CATTTGATAAATCACAAGCACTTTTTAAATTGACTTCAAATAGGAGAAGGTGGAGTCATACATTTTCTGAAAGTAAAACATAAATTATATCTTAAATGATTTATTGTTGATGTTGTTTTAAAAATATTAAAAGTAAATTAAATACTTTATAATGTAGAATATCCAAAAATACAAAAAGTTCAAGATGATATTGAATTAGTTGGAAATGCTGAAATGGATATAGATGAAACTGTTCATCAATTAAATAATTTAAAAAAAAATCTTGATGGTATTGTATTTTGCTAATTATTACTATGAATTAAATTATATTGCTTATTATATTTTTATAGTAAATATAAATATTGAAAAATTTCTAAAAAATAGAATTGAAGAAAAACAAAATATAAAAAATGCCGGTCAAAAATCATTAGGTGAATTTGATTGGTTAAGTCAATTTTCTTCGGGTTAGTATTATTTGTTATATTCCTAAGAAAATTAATAAAAAATAAATAAACAAGTTAATTACTAAACATGTTTAATAAAAATATCTTAAAATGAAATTAAGGATAACTTTTAGGTGTTGATTGGAAATCATTAGTATTTCCAGCTTGTCTCCCAATTACAACAGATTATTTTCCTGACGATGTCACACTTCAATCATACTATGTATTTTCCAATTATAATTTACTACCTGAAGATGTAAATGCAGATTTTGCTCAACAAAGAGCTGTTTACCGACAGCCTTTATCTACTTTAGAAGTATTTTACCAAATGGTATCTCAGCGTTTAGCTCAAGTAAATACATTAAAAATTATTTTATAAATATAATACAAACTGCATTCTTTTGGTCTTGCAGTATAGTAAACCTTAAATTAATTTTATTAAATTAAAAGATTAGATCACAATCAAATGCATCTTATTTTATTATGAAAAATTTTCAGATCTATTTAATGTATATATTATTTAAAATTGTAATAAATATTTTTTTGTAAGATTTGCTAATTAATTTTTAGATTTCTAAACACATTTTTCTTTTTGAAATTTAAATATTTAAATAATTTAATCCCTTAAATGAAGTTTTAGTAAGAATAACATGTTATTTAA